TCAACATAACTAAGAAGTACTGTAGTCAGATTGTAGTGTATAGCTCAACATAACTAAGAAGTACTGTAGTCGGATTGAAACATATAGGTCAGCATAACTAGGAAGTACTGTAGTCGGATTGAAGTGTATAGGTCAACATAACTAAGAAGTACTGTAGTCGGATTGAAATGTATAGGTCAGCATAACTAGGAAGTACTGTAGTCGGATTGAAGTGTATAGGTCAACATAACTAGGAAGTACTGTAGTCAGATTGAAGTGTATAGGTCAACATAACTAAGATGTACTGTAGTCGGATTGAAGTGTATAGGTCAACATAACTAGGAAGTACTGTAGTCGGATTGAAATGTATAGGTCAACATAACTAAGAAGTACTGTAGTCGGATTGAAATGTATAGGTCAACATAACTAGGAAGTACTGTAGTCGGATTGAAGTGTATAGGTCAACATAACTAAGAAGTACTGTAGTCGGATTGAAATGTATAGGTCAACATAACTAGGAAGTACTGTAGTCAGACTGAAATGTATAGGTCAACATAACTAGGAAGTACTGTAGTCGGATTGAAGTGTATAGGTCAACATAACTAAGAAGTACTGTAGTCGGATTGAAATGTATAGGTCAACAAAACTAGGAAGTACTGTAGTCGGATTGAAGTGTATAAGTCAACATAACTAGGAAGTACTGTAGTCGGATTGAAGTGTATAGGTCAGCATAACTAGAAGTACTGTAGTCGGATTGAAGTGTATAGGTCAACATAACTAAGAAGTACTGTAGTTGGATTGAAGTGTATAGGTCAACATAACTAAGAAGTACTATAGTCAGATTGAAGTGTGTAGGACAACATTTAAACAATAAAATGCTTTCTTTGGTTGTTAGTACGGGAATTAACGTCGCAGCTGTTGCAGAAAAAATACATAACCAGCGTCAGCGGGTTATGTGAATTTTTTCTGCAATACCTGCGACGTTAATTCCCGTACTAACAACCAAAGAAAGACATTTTATTGTTTATATTTATATCTTTATAAAAAAAAACGTTCAAAGTAAATTAAATATGTTAGATATTGTATTATGGATGTGTATGTCATTGTATGCATAATTGATGGAACAGCCGTTGCTTAAGAAATCTATGCAGGTGGCTTGCTTAGTGTTGTTAATGGACTGATTAACGGCAATGGTTTTTATAAGAAATAAAGGAAATAATATTCAGTGGATGTAAATATAACTAGGATGTACTGTAGTCAGACTGTTGTGTGTAAGTCAACATAACTAGGAAGTACTGTAGTCAGATTATAGTGTGTAGGTCAACATAACTAGGAAGTACTGTAGTCAGATTGTAGTGTGTAGGTCAACATAACTAGGATGTACTGTAGTCGGATTGTAGTCTGTAGATCAACATAATTAGGATGTACTGTAGTCATATTGTAGTGTGCAATTCAACATAACTAGGATGTACTGTAGTCAGATTGTAGTGTGTAGATCAACATAACTAGGATGTACTGTAGTCAGATTGTAGTGTGTAGATCAACATAACTAGGATGCACTGTAGTCATATTGTAGTGTGTAAGACAGCATAACTAGGATGTACTGTAGTTGGACTGTAGTGTGTAGGTCAACATAACTAGGATTTACTGTGGTTAGATTGTAGTGTGTAGGTCAACATAACTAGGATGCACTGTAGTTTAATTGTAGTGTGTAGGTCAACATAACTAGGATGTATTGGTGACAGATTGTAGAGTTCAGGTAAAACAACAAGAGATTACTATAGTCAGATTTAAGCATGCCATATATAAGCCAGGATGGCTAATTTAACTGTAATATTTCACTGTAGTTAGATTGTGCATGTTGTTCAACGTAAGTAGATTGTATTGTAGTCAGATTATAGCATGCCATTTGTAAGCTAGCATGATTATAATACTGTACTGTAGGCAGATTATGCAGGTAGGTCAACATGAATAGATGATATTTTAGCAATAATTAAGCTTGTAGGTCAATATAACTAGAGTTTCTTGTCAGATTTAATCTTGCAGGTCAACATTACTGGAGTTTACTGTAGTCAGATCTTAGCTTGCAGATCAATATAACTAGAATTTACGGTAATCAGATATTAGCTTGCAGGTCAACAATACTAGAATTTACTCTGGTCAGATTTTAGCTTGCAGGTCAACAAAACTAGAGTTTACTGTAGTCAGATTTTAGCTTGCAAACAATATTACCAGAGTTTACTTTAGTCGGAATTCAGCTTGCAGGTGTAACAGGAGAGGAGAAAAATGCGACGGACCAGAACGGGATTCGAACCAGCATGGCCCCCCTGAATCTCTTGTCAGGTGTTCTACGAATTGAGCTATCTGGCCACCAGCGATCGAACCCGTATGACCGCCTCAAAGATCAACAATACTAAAGTTTACTGTAGTCAGATTTTAGCCTGCAGGTCAACATTACTACATCCTCACAACGTCAGGGGTCCTGAGTCAACTCGTTGCCGTTTTCCCACGGCAACGAGTTGACTCAGGACCCCTGACGTTGTGAGGATGACATTACTAGAGTTTACTGTTTCATGTCAACAATATTAAAGTTAACTGTCAGATTTTAGCTTACAGGTCAACAATGCTTGAGTTTACTGTCAAGATTAATTCTTTTAGGGATGTCAATTTTATTCGGACAGCTTAGTCGAATAGTCGGAGGCTTTAGTCGAACGATAGTCGAATATTCGTTGAAATTTAAATTAATTTTTATGTCATTTTCACTATATTTGTCTTTTAGAGACTAGTTGTACAATATTTAACCTACGCTATCACCATTATACAACGGATTTCTAAAACGTAAACATTTTCGGAGTACAATAAATACTGTACATCTACATGATCCAATGCATTTGATTTCAAAAATTAATATAATATTAATTTACTGCATATTTTATCTAAATGCAGGATATCAAACGCTCGCATTTGTCCTCTCTTTTCATAACGATTGTACATGTACCCGTTAATTGAAGCCATTTCTACGTGTCGTGCCAGTGTCCTTTGACTGGTAAACAATTAAAGTGTGCCTCTTATAAAAACAGAGAGAGCTTGTGATAAATTTTAATTTTGAGATTTTGTCTAAACAAACAATACACCGCATGATATTAATATCAGAAAGAAACAGCATTTAATTACGCTCATAACTGTCACCCAATTTACACGTACTTACAATTTTGTAACAGCTGTTTAATTATTCTTTATGAATAGTTGCATTACGTCAGATATTATGGTATTGCAGGTTGAAACTTTATAATAATTTGAATCTACAAAACCAAAAAATTCTTGAACGTCCTCTCTATTACAACAATCAGTGGTAAACAATCCTTGATAATCATGTTCGTGATAACAACATTTTTCTTTACGGCTCTGCTTTTTTGGCATTTTTGTGGAGAACTTATATTACTAGGAAATTTTCACTTGAAGACTGTGTATATGTTTGATGGATTCGGCATATAATACATCATATTTGATGTTCCACTGCAGAATACAAGTTCAGTTTTACATAACCTTGATAACGTACTTTTAACTGTTTTTCCATCCTGGCATCTTTTTAAGTATCTCAAACTGTAGGTTTGGAGGCATAAATCGACATACAAATAATTTCCTTTGAACAGTTAAACCATACCCTGAGTTTTACTTACGAGAACATTGATTTGTAAATGAAATGGTCAAATCCACGTTTATTACCTTGAATTTTAAATTACTTTTATGTAACACATTTTTAACGAATCGACTAAAGAAATTTTAGTTGATAGTCGGTATGATCGAACGATAGTCGAGTACTCGAATATTCGTTGACATCCCTAATTTTTTTTTTTTTTAACTTTTAGATGTCACATTATCAAGTGAAAATATGGAGTTAATCCATTTCATTTTTGGCATAGGGTACTGGTCATTCATCCTCCTGAAAAATGCTCAAAGACAGAAAGAACTGATGAACACTGAACAGAAATTACTGTTGCTAAACGGGGAAAACAAATGCAATTAAGGCTTTTAATTACATGTACTCGAGGTCTTTTATATTAAAAGAGGATTTTCTGATTTACTATTATTTCTTTTCTACATAGAAAAACTTTCAGTTTTACTTTACTTTAGATTGAGAAAGATCTATCAAATGCGGGAAAATTAATGAAACTCAACAAAGTCCTGAAAACGTAATTGTCCTGAAAACAAGACAGTCAGTATATGAAAATAAAATCCCTTACTTTTTAAAGCGTAGCATGTATATCTATAGTTATGGCACAGAAAACACAGGGAACAAGACGGGAAATCCCATATCTTAATTGATTCATTTAGACACCGAATTCACACGGTATATGTTATTTGAAACCAGGAAGTTTTTCTTTACCACAAAGAAGGCGTTGTGAATATCTAAATGTTTTACATACAAGATCAAGGTGTAACAAGGCCGTATACCAAACATTTAAAATGATAAAAAGGATGACAAACAACTACATTTGTGCTAATAATTAAAATACATTTTCCTTGCAATTGGGGAGAGAACATTTTTTTTTTATAAATCGACAAATCTACCATTTTTGTGATTTAAAAATGCACACGCGCTCTACTTCAACAATACTACTTCGATAATTTGAAGTCTGATTTTTCAGGTGCGCAAATGCCTTCTCTGTACTGCTGAGACCTATTGTGATCTAATACAACTGAACAGGTCCGTAACAGCGAAAGTGAAGGGGGGGGGCTTTAAAAGAGGGAAAGGGGAGAAATCATACTCCTGTCTCAAACTTTCATAGATGTTTTATGCCATTAGATAAAAAAAATCCCAAAGGGGGTAATGAGGGGGCGTGTCTCCCCATATCTTCGAATTCGCCCGCATTACACAATAATAAAATAGTACATTCTGTATTTTACTTCTGGTTTTAATAGAACAGAATTACCCAAGAACATTTCTGAAAGAAATAAAATTCAGATAAAATTCAACAGCAAACTTTCATGACATTTTAAAAAAAAAAAAATTATGGATGAAAAAGGCTTGCTATTAATCAATTACTGAATTCATGAACTGTATTTGAAAGACAAATGGCTTAAAAAAGAAAATACATGTATGAAAGCAATTTAAGTTACACTTTTAAACAATAAAAAAATCTTTTGTTGACCATCTTATGATATGAAAAGTTGAAATCTTTTGCACAAGTTACATACAACACAGAACAAGAAAAGTGCAACACTTTTAACAACTTTACATTATATATGTAGCTATATATAGCATATATGTCTCTCTGCAATAATGTTCACGTAAAAAGTTAAGTAACATGAAATCTAAGCACAAATATACAGTAGTATTGAATGACGGTTATTTTTATTTTAAAACAACAATACAAGTGTACTGTGGAATTATTGTTCGTTGGGGATCTATGTTCGTGGATATCTTAACCCATGAATATATATCCCCACGAACAATTATTTTCTCAACATTTCTATTCACTGAATCTTTTGTATCTACGAGTTACCATGAACCAATTAAATTTTGCTTGCCCACGAACATTGACCCTGAATTAAAATGTTCCACAGTATGTATAAATGTTCCTTAATTACATATACATGTACACTTTAAGTTTTAGTATGGTATCCAGTTATGTGTTATGGAAATACCAAAACATATTCTACAGAAAATATTGCACAACACTTCTGAAGCCGATGGATTCACCCACTGTAGCAGGGCAGACTTATCCTGTCCCAGTCTAGAACTGCAAGGCTTCGAACATGACGTCAGTCCTAATGGCGTACTTCCGGCCCTTAATTAATTCCGAGCCTTCGTGAAGGATGTCATGTTGGAAAATCAAAACTGATCCTATAAAGGTAGAGAGATGCTATTATTAGCTTTAGAATGTTTATTCATAATAAAATATTTGACTAGATAATTGTAGTTCCACACACTAGACATCATTTGTATTTTGCTTGTTATATAGTATTATCGATCCAAAAGTTAAAAAATGAATTTAAAAAAAAACACTACTTATAAAATCAAGGCTTATTCTCTATTTAGGATTTTTTTTGTTGAAGAATTTAGGTTGTATGAGAGAACATGTACAGCAGTGTATTTAGTACAGTGATATACATGTATTTCTTTGTTAGATATTTCTTTGTTAGAATTTTATCAATCCTTCCATTGCATGAAAGATTAATATGAAAGTTGAACATTTTTTTCTAATTTGCAATATACATGTATATTTTACCTGTTTTGGGTACCACCTCTACTCCGCAATCTCCCCCTGCATAACTGTCTAAAAAGGTTGTACTGCCTCCTTCAAATCCCTGGTGATTTTTTGTAAACAGAAAAGAAAAGTGAGAAAAGAGAAATTGTTATAGTAAATTAATCCATCATCATTGTCGTTTATTTTTACCCACCTCGTTGAGATAGATTTGGACGGTGACGTAGCTTTTGTCTCCATTGTCTCTGATGTAGGGGCCGTCAAAGTGAGGTTTAAAATATTCACCGGGGTCATACCGCAAAAATCGTAACCTTATGACAATAAAAAATTTTAAGTTTTAAAATGCTGATTTATGAATTATTGCGAAGAGTCTAAAATTTTATTTTTACTTTTTAAAATGAATGTACAAATACATGTATACAAACCTTTCATTCAGTTCTACAAGTTTTCTTTCTTTCCATTTATCAGGTAGATACTTCCTGATTCTACCCAGAATTTTATCTGCTTCCTCTTTTGAGTCCCAGATATTTCTAGAACTATTTCTCACATCTGTAGCCTGAACTTGTCTATTGGTATTGGTAGGAGAAAACAAACAAAAAAAAAAAAAAAAAAAGAGAGAGATTATGTCATGTCCTCACACAGCAAAAGTTTCTAGACGCATTTTAAAATGTGGAAAGGTAAAAACCTAACAATCAATATAAGAAAGATGAACCAACGAGAAAGATTGACTATAACTATAACTACATGTAAATAACGCCTACCTTCCTCCGCCGACATTGACTAAAGCCAGCTCATATCCTCTCTTCTCCGAATCTTTTATGTATTTGTTACACTCCTATAAAAGCAAACAAAATTCAAAAGTGTAACTTGAGTACTATGAATTATTCGAGAAAGAAAGATTTGATAAATTGTTTAGTTAGTTTATCGATCGAAAAATGAATTTACGTAGCATCTTTTTTTTTCAAAGTTGGGGAGGGGGGTATCGATGACAAGGTGTTTCTTTCAACTTAAACATTCAATCTTATTCAATGTTTGAAATCCAAACATGATAGCTTTTTTGCAGAAACACACAAACCGAGCACTTCCATGTGTATATTTTCCCACTTAAGATTTTACAGCGTAAATTCTAGATCTAAAATTTGATTAACCGATATTTCTCAAACATTCTGTTGACATTTTTTGTGAATTATATGGGCATCAAGTTTTTAATTTATAGAGCAAAATTAGACATAATAATTTTTATATTTATTCGTGTCAATGAAAAACTCACTTCCTCCGTAAACACATTATACAGAACAAAGGCTAGTTTTCCTTTAGAGATGTCGGGTAATTTGACGTCCTCTTTGGTTATTTCCATAATCCTATAGGAATACCCTGCAAAGGAATGTTTGTACATAGAGACTATGAGAAACTACAAGAAACTATAGATAGGTGTTATGTGGCTGGATCTTTTATACATCCATGAATAAAATGTATACAAGATATCCTAAATTCTTGTGGACTGTCTTACATATTGAAGAAACCAATTTGTACAAGAATGGAGAAGTATTGTCGATAGCTCATCTAAATGTATTAATTATAGAATTTTCAAAACGAACTTTGGTCTCAAAAATTATGAGCTGAATTTACCTTAAGATTTAAGAAGTACACTTACAAAGCTACGAACATGAATCATCGTCTTCCAATTGAAACAGGTAAATGGGATATTTACAGAAATTTTAGAACATGCACCGTTTGTAATTGCAGGTGAAGGTATTGGTGATGAATTTCATTAGGTTATGGAATGTAAGTACTTCTCAAGCGACAGAAAAAAAAATTATTTCTCCAAAATAGATATTGTAAAAATCCTAACATTTTCAAGCTTAATGAACTAAGACAGACGATGTAGATAGCTATGCGCGAAATACAAAAAACGTTGTCGAAATGTACTGTGAGAGTTTTCAAAACTGTCTCTCTCCTTCTTGAATCCTCTATAACTGCATGTTTGTATGATCACTTTTTAATGGTTTATACTTGACTGCTCCCCCTCCCCAACTTGACTTCAATTTGTGTTTGCGTATTTATACTAGTGATCATATTTAGAGAGAATAAGAATTGAGAATTGAATTGGAAGGGCTAAGCTATAATATTTTTTTCACTTAAGAAGTTATGACAGTAAATACCAAAAACAAGCTGGGAATTTCTTGTACGAATGTGTGCTTTCTATTTAAAAAAAAAAATCTACATGTATTTTTTCTATACGCGGTATTACGACTCAAAACATAAAAATCCGCTTTAGTGGCTGAACTTTATTTTCGAGAGCAGACAGAATTTTCTTTTAACCATGACTGCTCTCACTTTATAAATATATCATTTTATACACGATTGGTCATGCTTTGCAGACTGAAACTGGAGCCAGATCTTTGTCTGCCTGTATGTAGTGCATAAACTCCAGATTACGCAGTCTTCTTATGCAGTTCTGCTTCCAGCATTTTCAAATCACATCATAATGTGTAGTGTCGTTTCTTCAAAATTGATTTTTTTTTTTATTTTTTGCTTTGCATCGTATGAGTTTTAATGTTATGAATTACACGAGTTTTATACTTACAAAATGAAAAATGAACACTACCATTTCAAAATATGATATGCATGCCTCATGTGATTTGTGACACATAGCAATGCTAAAAAAATATATACAATATATATTCTCGTTTATATTTACATATCTTAACCAAGTGATATTTAGAAGTTAAATTAATATAAATTTGAAACCTATAAAGATTGACTACTAGATACTTGTTATTTACTAAAAAATCATCGAACACGTACAACCTTATATCGATCCAAAATAAGACGTAAAAAAACCGAAAAAAAAAAATCCTCCTAAAATTCAACCAGTCAAACTATATCCAATATCAAGTTCATTTTAATATTCAACTTTCTTTAACTTCTATGAAGTAGCTGTTTAATAGTCAGTTCTAGATTTATTGGTAGTAGATGCTGATGATAGGAAGGCTTATGGACCTCTTGTGGAATATTGACTAAAATCTCTTTAAAAAGTTTTCTCAGAGTAATTTTTTTTTTTTTTTTAGAAATTTCTTATTGTGATCAATTTTACATTAATCCTTCTTATTACAGTATCTTACATCAATTTACGACTCATCAATAAATCGAAACTCAAAATTTGCAAAAAACAGTGCTTTTATAAAGGTGCAATATTAAGTACAACTTATTTGTTTGGACTGCTTTAATTCTACACTATTTTAACACATATATATTTTTTAAGTTACTGATTTGGTCAAATGACCTTCTAAATTTTTTTTTAAATATTTTTTTTACTCGAGATTGGCTCATTCTGTTGTAAGGAGTGTAATTTCGTGATTAAAAAAATACGACAATAACATTCAACAAATACTTTGCATCCTGTTTAATTTGACCAGGGGTGTCTTGCAGTGTATTACATTTTACATCCGTTCAAAATGGAAATCCTAGTAAGTATAATGGTTTGGGCTGTGGATATCGGCCCGGGTAGCTCAGTCGGAAAAGCACCTGACTCGTGATGCAGGGGTCCCGGGTTTGATTTCCGGTCCAGCCAAACATTTTCTCCTTTCCTGTTACAGATTTGGTGCCGTTGACCACCCCTGGACTTGCAGGTGAAAGTCTTGCCAGTGGCTACTAATAACTTGGATTGTGTCTTCGAGGGCGAAGACAATTTAAGGAGGGAGGAATGTAATGGTTTTGGCCGTGGATATCGGCCTGGGTAGGTCAGTCGGTAAAACACCTGACTAGTGATGCAGGGGTCTCGGGTTCGATTCCCGGTTCAGCCATTCCTGTACTATTAGTACTAAATAGCATAACGTTAAATAGAATTTGGACTTGAAGCATCAAATCTCGTTTTTACGTCGTAAATAACTATAATTGAAAACTCACCTCTCTATCTTCTTCGTCAATACATGTACTCTACTTTCACTTAAATAATGGGTATACCACTAAGTATTTATAGTGTGTTGGAAGTCATGTCTATTTATAGATCTCCAATAAAAACAACAACCAAGATGAACAAATTACCTTTTTTAAAAAAAAAAAGTTAAGATGTTATCAGAGACATAAATAACATTCATTTGATATTTATTCCATGATCTGAGGGTATACCAAAACATCACATAATGTTTGGATACAAAGTGTTCCCAACACCATAAAATCACCTCGACATCAGGGCACCGTGTAATTCATGGACTGGAGGCATGGAATGGAGTTATTGAGTGGAGTTTGGAGTCAGATTTTGGAGTCTAAGATTTTTTTTTAAAACATGGATGGAAAAAGATGTTCAAGAAATTGCATTAGTATGAAAGTATTCTTTTTTGTACATTTGTATGCTGTTTCTTGTCTTGTAACTAATCAGATTGACAATTCATGTATTATGACTTAATTAAAAATTGTAAGTTTCTGAAACTTAAGTAAGTATTTGTAACTTTAAAAATTACATCAGTATTGAATAAACAGACATGATACTGACAAGATAACCCCTGTTCTTTAAAAATGTCTGGCAACTGTTGAATATAATTAATCAACAGATATAGTCGGTCTTACTGATTGTTTTAATATAGTTTAATTCGACGTGTTAACAAACCTGTCAAGAGCTATTAGGTTCAGTGTTTAGAGCAATTTATAAGAACACTTTTTTTTCAGTATATACAGTCACCTATTCATTACCTTCCATGTTAAATTAAAAAAAAGAAAAGAAATTATAATCAGTTTTAAAATAAGTTTCACACTTTATACCACTATTATATAAAAGGTTCACTCACTCCCTTACTTCGGCGACATAGCAATTACCAAACTAATCTCTCTCCCTTTTTCTTGGGTTGTCACTCCCTCACCCTCAAAAACAACAAATCAATTATGGGTCATATCACACTTCAAGTGAAAGCAATGTGTTAATTGTTTTACTCCAGTTTATCTTTATTAAACATTGAATAAATTGTCAGTTTTCTAATTGATAGTGAAAGCTATGTAAGACTACACTGGCTCATACAGAAAAGCCGGAATCCTCACACCCAGTTCAAGAGATGCTGATAAAAGTGAACGATGACCATTTAATTTTGGAGTATGTGATCTAGTGTTGAATTAACTTGAACAGCATACATGCATTAAAATCATTGCATTCTTTAGGAGTTTATATAGATATTATCATCCCTTAACTAGCATCACAGTGCATTCCTTCCCATTAACTTCCCATTAACTTCTAAATTGATAAAAATTGTGAGTCACCAATGTATTGTATTCATATTACAGTATCATAATACATGTATTATTTAATTATTCAAGTAAATGTATGTGAATTATTGATAATCTTTTTTTTTTAAATTCACATTTTAAGATACAAAATTGATGGTTTCAAATCTACAGTAGATTATATAGAGAGAAAAATCATCAATCTTATTCTACAAACAATGTACCTTGTAACAATATATTAACTTACATTGTTCAGCTGTGTGGTCAAAAACCTTTAAAAGTTTTAACAGACATAACAAAGATAGGACAGAAAGCTAAAATTTAGTTCAAAGGGTTTTATCACCTTCCAATTATGTGTTGAAAGCTATGGTGATCATTATTTATGTAACAGTTAAATTTGATTAAAACATAGAATAAACTGTCACTGTTTTAGGTAAGACACTTTTTGACAATGAGAGTGAAATTAATACCCACGACCTTATCTGAAAGAATTTGCGGGAATCTGATGCAGCCACTGTATGTCCCACATAATCTGTCAAGAGTTATTTATACAACAGCATGCAGGCAGTGTTAGGCAATTATAACAGACCCATTTATTCACATCAGTATGCTATTCATTAAAGTACAATTATTATGAGTAGTTCATTTTCGATGAAATAGATTTAACTTCAAGATTAATCTGTCTAAATAAAAATTAACGTTCTAACAATCAATATCTTAATTGAATATTTGTTATTATCTCAAATCCTAGAACATAAGCTTTCGAATATGACTGATACCATGTCTTTCATAAGTATAAATCTGGCTGTGAAAAAAAGCTCTAAATGATATTACTAAGAAATTTGATTAATGAATATTATGAAAATCGTCAAAATTGATATTTTTTAATCATTCAAATAAACATTTAAAAAGGCATACCACTTGTCTACCTCATAATATTTTTTATGCCCCGCCTTGAATATGACCGGGGCATATAGAGTTTGACATGTCTGTCTTCTGTCCTTCTTTCCTTCCGTCAAGTTTTACATGTAGCTCAGTTCAAAGCTCAGTTTCAAAGATATTTTTCAAGATATTTTTTTTATAAAACTTCATATGTTGGTGAGAGCTTTTCAATTGTGTAAACATTTTTTGACTTTGACCTTTTCTTTGACCTTTCTTAAATTAGTGTTTAGCTCAGTTTTAAAGAAACCATTCAAGATAGTGTAATCAAACTTCATACGTTGATACGTACTGATGTTAACATTTTTTTTACCTTGACCTTTCTTTTGACCTTGACCTCACTTTTCTTATAAATAATGTTCAGCTCAATTTTAAATAAAGAATTCAAGATATTTTCATCAAACTTCATATGCTAATACATACTGATGAGAGCTATCAACTGCATCAACATTTTTTCACATTGACCTCACTTTTCTTAAATCAGTGTTTACCTCAGTTTTAAATAAACCATTCAAGATATGTTTATCAAACTTATGCTGATACTTATTAGTGAGGGTTATTCAACTGCATGAAATCTTTTAACCTTAGGCTTTCCTGTGACCTTGACCTCACTTTTCTTTAATTTGCATTTTGATTAGTTTAAAAAAAATTAAGATAATTTATGTAAGCTTATGCACTTATGCATAATTTGGTGAGAATTTATCATCTTTATCCATTTTTTTTTAGATTTCAATTTCAATTTTAAAGAAACTATTCAAATATTCGCTTCAAACTTCATACACTAATACAAATTTTCATGTTGCATTACTAATATACACTGGATGGGGAAATTTTCAGGCCTAAGAAGCAGAAAAATACCCTAAAATGGATTACGGAGTATCAAATAGGCATGAATGACACCATCTAAAAAAGTAGCAAGAAACATTATTTGTCTGTTTTTGAGCAGATTTTAAGGTGATTCAACAAGATACTCGTAACCTAATTTTAGTAACAGGATTTATGTTAAATGTTAATTGCAATAGCTGGTGGTTTAAAGCAACATGGGAATATAATAAGACTACAGAGTTGTCACCTGAAGAATTTTGTTCTAAATAGCAAAAATCAAATTTAAAAAAAAATCAGACTCCAAAATTTGACTCCAAACTCCACTCCAAAACTCCACTCCATGCCTTCAGTCCATGAATTACACGGTGCCTCGACATCAGTGGAATAATCATGATTTTCTCATTGCCAGGAAATTAAATTTACCAGGAAATTAAAATTAATACCTACATTTTTTTATGTAAGATGCAGTGTTGTCTGTCTTTAGACGTTATCGAGTATCCAGGAAAACAAAGTGATGCCGAATCCTACTTTTACCCTGTCCTGTCTCATGTCCCGCTAGAGGTCGCATTGTTACAACTTCCGTTCTTTGGCTGGATTGTGTATTGGTTTAGTATTACCATCGACATGGTCATGATTAAACTCCGGGACTATATTAACAAGAGAAGATTTAGAAAGAAAAGCAAGATATGATAGCATACGCAAATGTTCTGCTTTTGTTTGTACTTTGGACACATGTACACCGTGGTAAATACGACACTGCATAGACTTGTACTAGTCTGCTATATAGTTGTGCTACAGAGATGATCGAAACCCTGCACGCAAATTATTAGGAATAATATAAACCCAAATTGGCTATTATATCCCATTTTTGCAGTTAGTCTTCTGATCACAATCTGTCTATAACTGCTCTAACTAGGTCACTTTAAAAATAGTTTATATGCAACATTTGTCTGCTTTTATTTTGTTTACACTTGCCTAAACAAGAGTAAATCTATTAAATTTAAAAGACAAAAACGAAATTTATCGAATGTTACCCTTGGCATGTTTTTTGACAATGCAATACAGTAAATTTGATTATAAAGAACTCGCTTTCGACTTCTAAGGAAATCATGGTTATAAGGAATCTTCTTTGTCTCCCATGGAAGACTTTACACTGTTAGCAGATTTAGCACAATCTCTTGATCCCTTGATTTAGCTATATAGCTTGAATTAGCTATATAGCTTTATTAAGCTATTCAGAATGGCTTGATTTAGCTATTTTTAGAATACTTTTTTTAAATGTGTTATTTTTTTCAGCATGTACAAAAAGGTCGCACCTTGAGGCAGTGATAGTATTCAATTTGGAACTCTTCTGAAAATGATTAATGCATGTAAAATCACTCATCAAATTGTGTCTCTTTGAGAGATTTTGTACTCAAAGTTCTAAAAGTTTTGGGGTCATATAAAGCAAGTTGATTTGTGACCTCACAGTTATTTCTTGTTTGAAATTATAAAGGAGGTCAATTCTGGTCAACAAGATAATTGATTAGTAATACATGTACATTGTAATTCACCACATTATGTGAAGAAATATACTTATCACTTAACACACACAAGGTGGTGTACAGTTATCCAAACAATGGAAATGCATCTTTTGCTTAAAAGTGTTCAAAAGCTGCAATGTTAGAACTATCTTTGATCTAGGTTGCTTTTTTGCTAGTCCATAGTACATATATATGAATAGTCAAATACTTGTGACTTTTTCTATTTCATACAAAAAAACATTTTTTGTGAAAAAATGTGTATAAATAGCCTTCTGAATAACTTGATCAGATATATAGTTAATTCAAGCTATTCAGCTTAATCAAGAGATTGTGCTGGACCTGGTTATTTATATGGATGTAAATGATCTTGATTACCGGATTATATGACACCGGTATAAGGAAGCTAAATTCAAACTCCCTGTGACTTGTTTATAACCAAGTTTTACTGTATTCTACTGGTAAGAAGACCAGAAAAACATATGTGAAGGTAAATTGAATTTCAACAGTCTGTCTAAACACCACAAATTATGAGAACAACCAGTAGAGCTGCAGTTTTATCAGAGGCATCAGTGAAAAAACAAAAACAAAAAAAAAACAAAAAAACAAACCAAAAAAAAAAACAAACAAACAAAAAAAACCAATTTAATTGAGTTATTTTATTGTTTATTCATAAAAATGTGAAATAATTTTTAGCTATTTAAAAAGAAATTGATTGTGCTCATGATCATTGAAATAAATTAACAGTGTTGACCCAGAGCTACCCAATCATCTACCCCAGCCAGAGTATTGAGGTGGAGGAGGGCCAGAACCTAGAGGTCAGGTGTAGCATTGGCAGCACAGAGGGTCCACCTAAAGCCCTGTACTGGAGGGGTGTGTGGAAGTCTGAAGAGGAGATCCATCAACAATGGACAGATAACTTCACAAGAACACTGGTCATCAGGAATATCACAGGAAAAGATGCTGGCATCTACCAATGTTTCTACAACAGCTCCACAGTACAGACAAAGAAAGGCCTATCCATCCGAGTTATCTCAAAGTGTTAGTAATTAATATAGAGTTTGTTAAAAACTATTTACACTCATGAAGATTTATAAAAATGATTTTTTTTGGACTTAATTATGAATGTTGATATTTCAACATCCATGTCATGGATAAGATGTGCCCTGTATTATTAAAGATAATTATTCTTGGAGATTTCCTAATCTTTATTTTGCAATAACCTTACATCTTGAAATGACATGATAATGCTCTTCATGGTGCCGTTTTTCAGTGGCCACAGGTGCTCGGTGTCATAGTAAAGAGTTTCTGTGTGAGACCAGTAAAAACTGTATATCTATGGAAAAACGCTGCAACAAACAGGAAGACTGTATAGATGGATCAGATGAAAGGAACTGTCAGTATGGTAGGTTTAAATTTGAAATGCAGTTATTTGAAAAATGTGAGTTTAGCTAATTCAAATGCTGAAAATACAGTTGAACTTCATTACCTCTAACATCAAAATCTGAAATACCAGGGATATGTCAAAGTAAGTTGGCATTCCCAATCACTTTTTCTTTGTTTTTTACCCTCTTTATCTCAGATATTATGATGTATAATCTTGGTCCCATTGACGTTGAAATAATGAGGTTTGTAGTTACCATTGCCTTGAATACCAAGGAATGAGATAACATGTTTAATTATTTGTAAAGAATAAATTCAATAATACATGTATTGGGAAACAGGCAAAGTCTATATCTACCCACTTCTTTTCTATGTACAAGTATATCCAATTTATATAGAAAAACTTGAGACTTTATATAAGTCTATTCTTTTCTTCTTCTTTTTTTAGCTAAATGCCTGGACATGTTTATTTGTCAGAACCAGCAATGTATTAATAAGACATTGGTCTGTGACAGTCTACATATCAATCACTGTGGGGATTGGTCAGATGAATATTGTCTCATCACAGATTATCAGTTCCCCAAAACAGGTAACTAATCACATGACAGATTATCAGTTACCCCAAACAAGTAACTTATCACACAGGTAACTAATCACACAAGTAACTAATCAAACAGGTAACTAATCATGTAATAAATTATCAATTCCCCAAAATAGGTAACTAATCACATGACAGATAATCAGTTCCCCAAAACAGATAACTAATCACATGACAGATTTTTGATTCCCCAAAACAGGTAACTAATCACATGACAGATTATCAGTTCCCCAAAACAGGTAACTAATCACATGACAGATTATCAGTTCCCCAAAACAGGTAACTGATCACATGATAGATTATCAGTTCCCCAAAACAGGTAACTAATCACATGACAGATTTTCGGTTCCACAAAACAGGTAACTAATCACATGACAGATTATCAATTCTCCAAAACAGGTTACTAATCACATGACAGATTATCAGTTCCCCAAAACAGGTAACTAATCACAAGACAGATTATCAATTCTCCAAAACAGGTTACTAATCACATGACAGATTATCAATTCTCCAAAACAGGTTACTAATCACATGACAGATTATCAATTCTCCAAAACAGGTTACTAATCACAAGACAGATTATCAATTCTCCAAAACAGGTTACTAATCACATGACAGATAATCAGTTCCCCAAAACAAGTGACTGCTCTCATCACAGATTATCAAAAGAGGGTTTTCACCATGATTGGGTTTTCAAGTTGAGGGTATTTTAGTACCAAAAAGTGTATACAAGCCTTTGATATAAATAAGTATAAAGAAATATAAATTGTTGTGTAAACTGAATAGGTAAAATCAGTTTATCTGTGCAAAAAATGCTGAAATAAGTGTGTTTACAATATGCTAAAATAAAGAAATATTCTTTGAAATAAAAGAGCTTTTAATAAAAATTTGGTGATTTTACAGATTCTTTCAAGTTTATATAGGATATGAATAAATGAATACTAAGTACATGTATAATAAATTGATGCATTTTATTGCAGAAGTGATTAATGCCACCACAAACCAGCCCAGTGATGAAACCCAGATGTCATGGCTCAAGACGACTGTGTACGCAGTGATTGGTTGTACTGTCGGCACCGTTTTGTTGATTTCAGTAATCGTTATCATTGTCTTTAGATTCAGGATGAAGAGTTCACTCCGAAGCACAGAGAGGGCACTCCGACGATATCATATGACGGTGAATAGTCGATCACAGCAGGACAATAATCAGAATTCAATAGAAATGGACCCTTTCTTATCTTCATCAGCCACATATGGAAACATCATTGTAAATGTGAATAATGGGGTACAATATATTCCTAGGAGTGACTTCTCGCCTATTGGAGTGCCGCCATCTTATTCTGATGTTGAGAGGGAGATGAATATTAATAGAGGATCTCCCCCTCCCACATACAGTACAATTGATAGAAACCCTCCCAGGGAAGTCATAAATTTCAATAATTACATTATCCATGACTCTTCCATAGCCAGTGCATGTGCCACTTGCTTGCCATCTTTGTCTCGTGATTCTTCCATTTTATCAGAATCAGAACTTTGTGTACAACAAGCTAGACCTGTGAATAATTTGTGTAGTGATCAGCAGACAAGAGTTACATCTAACACCTGCAGTGTGTCAGTACAGACAACTAATGATGACCCTGAGGCTGGTGATGGACAGAGGACAGCCCTGTCCTGTCGATGCCAGTCTCTCTCTGTACAGAATGGAGAAATTGTGTTAAGAGATTCAAATGCTTCCATGGAAAATCAAGAATCCAGTCAGTCACAAACTCCTCACACGGACTGTTCATCTTGTGTTAGGGTATGTCAGTTGGGTGTCCAGGATGGTGCTATTGTATTGACCAGTCAAAATCTAAACAGTGACCCAATAAATGGAACATTTGAGGAAGGCCAGTCCAATGAAAATCTGAGGCAGGAGGATAACAGGAATGATATGGTCCTGGTTCCTCCAGAGTCTGCTCCTGCCCTGATACAAGTGGAAGGAGGAGAGATAGTACTGAGAGAGAGCAACCCACCAACAGTAGACCCAACATCACAGCAAACAGAAGGGGCAACCCACCAACAATAAACCCAACATCATCACAGCAAACAGAAGGAGCAATGCACCAACAATAAACTCAACATCATCTCAGAAAACAGAAGGAGCAACCCACCAACAGTAAATCCAACATCATCACAGCAAACAGAAGGAGCAACCCACCAACAATAAACCCAACATCATCACAGCAAACAGAAGGAGCAACCCAGCAACAGTAAACCCAACATCATCAAAACAAACAGAAGGAGCAATCCAGCAACAGTAAACCCAACATCTCAACCAACAGAAAGAGCAACCCACCAACAATAAACCCAGCACCATCACAACAAACAGAAAGAGCAACCAACCAACAATAAACCCATCATCACAACAAAGAGAGGGAGCAACCCACCAACAATAAACCCAACATCATCACAACAAACAGAAGGAGCAACCCACCAACAATAAACCCAACATCATCACAACAAACAGAAGGAGCAACCACCAACAATAAACCCATCATCACAATAAACAGAAGGAGCAACCTAGCAACAAAAATTGCAACATAATCACAACAAACAGAGGAAGCAACCTTCCACATATAACTGCCAAACAATGAAGCACCCCACCAGCAAAATTTGCAACATTATCACAACACACAGAGGGAGCAACCCACCACCATAACTGCAAAAAAGAGAAGCAATCAACCTACAATAACTGCAACATCATTGCAACAAACAGAGAGAGCAACTTTTGACAATAACTATAACATCATCAAAACAAAGAAAGGAGAGAGGGGACAACCCAGATACAAAAATTACAAAATCATCACAATAAAGAGAAGAAACAACCCACAGACAAATAACAGCAACATCTCAGAGCAGAGGGAGTAACGCACTGACAATAACAGCAACATCTCACAACAGAGGGAGTAACCCACTGACAATAACAGCAACACCTCACAACAGAGGGAGTAACCCACTGACAATAACTCAATGACAATAACTGCAACATCTCACAACGTAGGGAATAACCCACTGACAATAACTGCAACATCTCATATCGTAGGGAGTATCCCACTGTCACAATAACTGCAACATCTCACAGCAGAGGGAGTAACCCATAAACACTAACTGCAACATCTCACAGCCAACAGATGGAAGCAAGTATTCCAACTCTGCATTTTAATGTTCAGTGGTCTATTAATAGATAATTAATGTGTCTCCTTAAAATACTTCATGTCTGAAATGTTAAATGAGGTAAAAAATGTATTAAATTTAAAGTGGGCTAAAAGTGAAAATAAGAATTTTAATTGAAAAGAAGTAAAATATTTTGAAATATTGAAATGGTTATTCTATCACTAGTTAAAAAAAGAAGAAAATGCCATATACTTTTCACTACATGTAAGTTAATAAAATCTTTATTTAGTGATATAGAAATTGCTTTAAACTGCAGATTCGGCTTTAATAAAAAGGCTGTACCAACATCAGTTGTCTCAGTTATGGTGACCTTTGGTACTGTGGTAACAATGACTTTTATGGTATTATTAATGTAATTGTTAGGAGATGCACATGTGCAGTTTAATTCACACACAATTTGCATTTTTACATAATTTGCTGAAATACACAAAGTACATGTACATACTGTGATGTTCACTTTAGAAACAGAAATATCAATGTTTATGTACATACTGAAATGTACAATATACTTCATGTGCATACTGAAATATAGCCTACATGTACATTGCAAATTAACAATTGTAATGTTTTGGTCATTGCTGTCAAAGAATGTAGGATTGAAAAGAGGTAAATGTGTGCCAGGTATATATTGTTGTTTGTATATGATATAATACAATTGTTGTTTTTTTTTTCCTATTTCCAGCAGTTGTTAAGTCTAGCCAGTATTTTTTAGTGCCAAAATGTATTGTTGTGCATGTGACATATTTCAGGAAATCATATAAAATTTTCAACAATGGCATGCATAAATTTACCGAAAATAATGTTGACAAGCAATTATTAGTGAACATTTCTTTTTATTGTGTATAGTGTTTTATTAATACTTCTTTATTTTTAACAGCTGACCTCTTTCTTTTTATTTGTGAAAGGATTTGAATTTTATTAAAAAAAAAAACTTGGGCAAATTTAGCCAAGAGTTGACAAAGCAAGTGTGCATTATTAAATCATGCACTGGATTCAGTAAAATAATTTCTTCTATTTATTTCATAAATGCCTTGTAAACTATTGCTTTGACATCACATTTGAATTACAAATTCAAATGTTTACATCAATGCAATTGATAGAGCAGTCAGATGCAAAGTGTAGCAGTATTTCTTGATGTATGTGTAATTATGTGGCATTATGAGTGTTCTTTACAGATGTTGAACATCTGCTCTTCATTTTAACTACCAGTAAGCATTATATGAACCAACCTTAATTATCCTGAATTGCAAAGGGAATATTAAGTGTAAATTCTTACCTGTGTACAATTAGATTTAATAAATCAAATTTAATTTTAAAGATATAAAGCTTTAAACATATACAGTTTTTTTAAATCTAAAAAATCTTTATAAATTCATTCTGATTTGATTATGAACTTATTTTAGTACTAACTTTTATTCTTGATTTTGATCTGATTTTTAAATGGCATTGATGTCTACCTCAATGTATTCCAAAATATGTTAGTGATTTAATAGCATTGTTTCATGCTTTGTTAAAAAAAATCTAGTTTTAATTATTGAAACATCAATGGATTTTTTTTATTGCTGGTCACATGATCAATTTTAATGAAGATCTGTTTGTTTTACATGATTTTGATTTGTTTACAAGTATTTTTGTTGTGAATCTCTTGCTGTGATGCCATTGATGAATTGTGTGAATGGTGATGCCAATATCATTGTACATAATACATCATAACAACATCATGTCATAGATTGTTTTCAAGTTCAGTATACTACATGTATACCTGGTATATTACAGGGTACTACATGTATACCCAGAATATTTCAGGGTACTACATGTATACCCAGTATATTACAGGGTACTACATGTATACCTGGTATATTACAGGGTACTACATGTATACCTGGTATATTACTGGGTACTACATGTATACACAGTATATTACAGGGTATTACATGTATACCCAGTATATTACAGGGTACTACATGTATACCCCATATATTACCGCATACTTCATGTTTATCTGGTATATTACTGGGTATTATATGTATACCCGGTATATTACCAGGTACTGCATGTGTATCTGGTATATTACGGGGCTCTACATGTATACCCGTATATTACTGAATACTACATGATACCCCATTTATTACATGTACCAGGTACTACATATATACCAGTTTATTATGGGATAATGCATGTATACCATGTATATTACCTGGCACTACATGTATACCCAGTATATTACCATGTACTAGTGTATACCCCATACATGTATATTACTAGGTACTTATGCATTTGTTTTTGAAAGTTAGACAAATGAGGGAAAGCTCTCTTAATTTTCTTCATCTGTTTTTTCATACATTGTCAGTTTTATCCATATGTTTTTTTTAATTTCAGATCATGTCTCTAATATTTGACTTTTGTTTGCATTAATACAAGATACTTGAAGATATGAAAATATGTTCAGTAAAGGTGTTGACATGAAAAAAATCTTAATTACTAGTAATAAATTTCTGAGACCATGTTTCAAAGGGTTGATTGTTATTTTTATGTATTTACTCAATGTGACCTACATATAATTAAGATTTCCCTGGAAAAAATGAGATAATAATATTGATGTTCAAACTGTAAGACTCCGAAAGTACATAGGTACAAACTCACCTTTGGAGTGTTTATTCATCTGCATTTTATGAGCAAAGAGAAGAAATTTATATTGAATGAAGTTGATTTTCTTTTTTTTCTGGCCAAATCAATAGGTATGTTGAGGATGGATCCAGCAGTTAGTGTGTGGTGAGGGGGTTCAGGCTCCATATTCAGTCTAAAAAATTAGATTTAAAAATTCTCCATCCCCCATAATTTTTCTAAATAGAAAGCAAAGAATCATAAAATAACTGATAAAAGTTTTACAGTTTGGGAGCAAAACATCAAACAAAAGTTACTACAGTCTTAATGTAAAGCTTAATATATCTATACTACTATATTAAAATAATAGACTCGAATTTTTGGCCTTTAATACCGACAAATCGGAAGAGTGCTGTCTTTTGTTTGATATATTTTAAACATCATTGGTACTTGAAGATTACCAATTTGTTTTTATTCTTTCTCAATTAAGCTTCTACTTTTATTACTTTTTCTATGTACTAATTCAAGGATATTACATTAATTTTTATCAAAACAGATCTTTTACAGATTATATACCTGTCAATTATCTGTGTATATATAAAGTATATGTATGCTTAACTCTTTTATTTTTGAGGTCATATTTTGAACAAGTTGAGACCTGCAGTGTTAAAATTGGTACCTTTAGTTTAATAACTGATTGTGTAAAAATACCAGCTTAGCACATTTCTTCATTTTCAATACTTTGCTTGATATGTATCAGCAGTGTGCTCAACTCTTTGCTGTTGTCATATTTTCAATGAACATCCATAATTTCTTTTATTAAATTTGTTTGGAAAGGTGAAATTTATGTAAGCTCCGGCATGATTCGAACTCAAGACTTGATTTATAGCTAACTGGTGGTCAAACCCATTCTGCGCTATGCCGTTACGCAACAATTTAAAAAAACAAAACAAAAACAAAACAAAAAAACAAAAACAAAACAGAATTATATTCACATTCATTGTTTATTTCAAAAATACCTTACAATATGAATGTGTCGATGTATCTATTTTGTAAATGTCCGATATGCAGATGGATGCATTCATAACAATGTCAACCCGTGCACGCACGGGTCAAAGTCTAGTTGAATTTATCAGGAAAGTCTTTATTTCCAACATAAAACATTATTTATTTCATAGATCTTCAAAAAATAACATTAAGTGTCTCTGTTAATATTATAAAATGGTGTAATTTTTAGCTCTTCTGAGCCAAAGGCTCAAAGAGCTAATGCTATGGCCATTTGTGCGGTGTGCGTAAACTTTTTAAAATATGGGCCATAACTCAAGAACCCCTTGGCCAATTATTGTCAAATTTGTCACAGGGTATCCTTGGCCCAAGGGCTCCCTTTTATACTAAAACTGGGGTTGTGACCCTTTAACAAGGGGAGATAATTAGGAAAATAGAAACAAAAGTACTGGTTGCTAAAAAATCTTCTTCTCAAGAACCACTGGGCAGATTATCACCAAACTTACACAAAAGGATGAGGATATGTTGTAGATTAAAATTTGCACGGGGATTTACCCTGGGGCAAAGGGCGTGATCTCAAGGTCACTTCAAAGTTGACCAAAAATTACATTTTATTAAAATGTTGATATTTTGCTTACTATAAGGACTAGGATCATCAAATCTTGTCAGTTGGTGCATCTAAGGACATCATATCATGTTGACTCAAAAGTAGGTCACGGTGACCTACTTTTTAGCTCTTCTGAGCCAAAGGCTCAAAGAGCTAATGCTATGGCCACTTGTGCGGTGTGCGGTGTGCGTAAACTTTTTAGAATATGGGCCATAACTCAAGAACCCCTTGGCCAATTATTCTCAAATTTGTCACAGGGTATCCTTGGCCCAAGGGCTCCCTTTTATACTAAAACTGGGGTTGTGACCCTTTAACAAGGGGAGATAATTAGGAAAATAGAAACAAAAGTACTGGTTGCTAAAAAATCTTCTTCTCAAGAACCACTGGGCAGATTATCACCAAACTTACACAAAAGGATGAGGATATGTTGTAGATTAAAATTTGCCTGGGGATTTACCCTGGGGCAAAGGGCGTGGTCTCAAGGTCACTTCAAAGTTGACCAAAAATTACATTTTATTAAAATGTTGATATTTTGCTTACTATAAGGACTAGGATCATCAAATCTTGTCAGTTGGTACATCTAAGGACCTCATATCATGTTGACTCAAAAGTAGGTCACGGTGACCTACTTTTTAAATTTTGCGGCCATTCTTTTTCAAAATGATTTAGAGGTATATTTTGAACAATTTAAGGCCTATGATCATCAAACTTTGTCAGTTGATGCATCTTGGGTCCTCAAAGTACGTCGACTAAAAAGTAGGTCACCTTGACCTACTTTTTGAATTTTATGGCTAATCATTTTTAAAACAATTAAGGTCATCAATTCGAATACGGGGAGGCTTAGAATCATTAAATCTTGTAAGATGATGCATCTTGGGGCAATAAAACATATTTATG